TAAATTATCGTGTACTATATTCTGGTAATTTCATCTCGAGAGATGAGATATAATAATTCATTTCAATAATTGCATTGATGATCATTTGTCTTTTTCTACTCTCACTATGAAGATTGCATCTTCTTGTGTTTTCTCATCTCTTGTTATTCCCAAGCCTACTGTTTCCATGATTTAGAGAAGATACGCATACGGAGCTTGCTTTTGATGAGATAACCTGGATAGATTCGAGTTTTACCTTCTGTTCGCTGATAATTCAATTAAGTAAAACTCTGACGCATAAGCTGTATCACGATCCCGCTATGTCGCGGAGGTTATTGCCATTCAAGTGCGTCCACGTGTGCAGGTAAATAAACAAAAAGCTTGTGGAGAAATGTGAAGAAAGCGAGGGAGAAGAAGAGAGGCACGGCGAAACAAAATGTTGCGCGTGCGAGAGAGTGGGGGAGGAGGACTCGCGAGAAAATGCTTGTGCACGCTCGCTAGCGGATGAAGCGGGTTGGCGCTGTGCGACTCCTCCAGTAGTAGCCGAGCCGCTGCGAAGAGACGAGAACGCAGCGGCGGCGTCTCTCCGCGTTTGTTCGTTCCTTCGTCGCTGCTGTTGCTTCGCCCGCTGACCCACGGCAGACGATATTCGACAGCCGCTCCGGCTGCAAGGAGTCTCATCGACTAAGCTTGAAAACGCAGAAGGGGGTTGGGTTTCCTTCATTCTTGCACTAGTGAAGTTCCTGTGAATAAAGCGTTCCATTTAGTGTGGATATTTGCACATCTACTCTCGTTTTCAAAGGTTTAGAAATTTAAGTTTAGGATAGATCGTTTGGGAGCTCTGAGGAACTATGAGAGTTTGATAGTGTGTCTAGTTCTAACTACTTAGAATTAGCTTGCAGTTATTTAATAAATTAATTCGTATTTTCTGTAAGACAACAGGCAATTTTTAACAACATATTCTGTGTACTCCTAGAAATTTTGCCTAAGAATAGTTTATTGATCTATTATTAAATCATATTAATGTTTATAGTCATTTAGCACAGAATACCAGTAACTTTATGATATTTGTATCAGATCTCAGAAATTTAACAACATATCTTATAATACTGTCGTAGCCAATAATTTAAATAATATTCAATACCTACAATCTTTATAATGCTTACTCCAAAATCATTTTCCCCACGTTCCTCCATAGTAACACTCCAACAATCCGACGTTAACTTGGATACTAAACTTAATGTTTAAATAATCAAACATTTTTGTGACAAAAATAAATTGCTATTTCCAACATAGCCAACACAGTGTGTGTACAGAATTGCACGACATCCTGATTGCAGGACATACGGCTTATTAACGAGACGAATAACTTGTGGATCTCTGAAACAAATAGAAGTGAAAGTCTCGCATGGCCAGAGACCGCTGCCAGACGAAAAACGCGTTTGTCTCAATGACCAACATCAGCACGTGCTAGCACGTGAAACACAGTGCGAGGAGCAGCTTCGATGTGAACAAGAAAGAATCGATTCACACGTAAATACAGCAAACATGAGACTGGTGTTGAGTGTCGTTTACTCGCTTCTGCTGATCCTGCCATTATCCAACGCGGACCAATGGCGAAACGGGAGGAACGTGGAATGCCCTCACAAGTGCATGTGCTTCGGGAGTACCGTGAGATGCATGTTTCAGAAGCTGAACCGTGTACCACGGGTACCAACCAATACGACGGTCCTGTAAGTGGGTTTCTTCTTCAAATTTTACTCTTCTTCCGCCTCAGTCCCTCAGACTGGTGATTAGATTGCCGATTTTTTTCTGAAAAAATTGTAATTTGTAACAATCATAATATGAAGAAATATACGAAAGTATAAAAAGTATGGTGCTTTCTACCATAATATTTTGTAGGTAAAATAATTTTTTATTGCAGTTCTATTTTTTTTTTCTTTCAATTATATTCTCAGAAATATGAATTTGCACAAAAAAAAATCCGCAAATCTATTGATGATTATATGCAAAAATCTGTGACTGTACATATCGATTGATACATACCGTGTTCCACAGACGAATTACGGAGAAATTGGGATAGAATAATAATCGGGAAATATTCATGGTGTAGGCCGTGGACTATGAATATTTCTAACGTGAGTGCACGTGGGAAGTAGGGAATTATATTGGCTGCTTGGGATCCAGTATAAATATAGCATAATATACATTTCTACAATTTTTCGAAAATTTAGTGGTACTCGCTGAACCTTGGTTTTCGTCTATTTAGAAATATTAGAAATATTATCTAAATAATTATATTAGAAATATTATCTAAATAATATAAATCTTATTTAGAAATATTCTTCTGCAATAGTTTTTCTTCCGAAAAATTCAGTCGAAGAATTTAGCTTTTTGAGAATTAAAGGTTCTTGGCGTCAAACAATTTTTGAAAGTGTTCCACTATCGACATTTCCTTTTTGGAAAATCCTTTCCTCCTATCTGGAAAAAGAATTAACTTGTATAAATATTAAATAAGTAGATACATAATCACAAGCAGAATATTATATTTCATACATTTATAGTATTGTAATACGTCGATCGATAAAAGGTATCGTCATAAGCAGTCGGATAATTAAGTGGCATGGTGATCCAAAAAAATCATACAATCGCGGCTTAATTGAAACTTTATAAAGCTTTATAATGCCAGACTGTCCTAGTGGTACGAGAGCAATAACTTTTGATTAAAGGTACGTAAGTACTTATTTCTTTGGATAATTGGAGGATCGCATTTCATTAAAGCTGAAAAGGAATCGTGTATGTATTATACGTGTGTGTATGTATATATATATATATATAT